CAACACTATGATCGGTAACTACCTTCACTGGTCAACACTTGAATAATAATTACTCAAACCGGACAATGTTTTGTCCGATAAGCATCCTCACCGGACAAAGCATTAGGCGATGAACACCCAATCCGGTCAACACTTGGAAACAATAATACTCAATCCGGTCATTAACTAGGCAATGAGATGCCTAATCCGATCAACCCTTGTCCAATAAAGGTCCTCAGCGGACAACACTTGAAAATACAAATATACTCATTGATGGAAGCTTAAGCGATAAAGGACCCTCATCGGACAACACTCTATCCAATAATAAGCGCTTATCAGCCAAGCATAATAACTTAAGAAAAATATATACATAAGTTCTTAACAGCATGGAAACCAGAATTTTAATAGTAGTACATATTCAAATTCAAAGACTGCTTGTAAAAACTCACCTTATGCAAATTTTAAGATGAATTCAGTAAAGAATTTGAGGATGAAATCACACAGAAATTGCTTCCACTTTGATCACAACCTTCTTTTCACAAACACACATAAATCTCTTTCTTTTCTCAGTTCTTTCTAAAAATGGTAATACCCATTGCTTTCACAAAATTTCCCTTTTTTAAACCTTCCTAAAGAAGGCGGTGAAGGCTTTTTAATATTAAAACACCCTTCTCACACACCACATGCATATGCATGCATATACATTTACACATATGCACATATACACATATACATGCATCAAGGATTAATATAAACAATTAATCACGTAATCAAATAATTACTTCCAAGTATAATCAGAACCCGGTTATCACATAAGATCCCCTGATGCAAAGCAGTCTGGTTTCGGGATTTCATCTCGAAACATCCTTTTTGTATGTGGCTTGCATGTCTTAATAGATTGCCCATGCAGGATAGAATTGGTATGTGGAAACATGACCTTCGATATATGAAGTGTTCTCTTTGCCTAAATCATCAAGACTCGCGCCATCACTTGTTCTTTGCTTGTGACTTCTCTTTGGCGGTTTGGAGACAAGTTAAAACAGAGGTTGGTCTTAATGGCTACGCAGACTCATGGAATGCTATTCTACATGGTTTAATTATTGGAGTTGGGGGTCTAAGATCTTTGGCTCAAAAACTTTCTTTATCTGCCTTTGTGTACTTTATTTGGCAGAAGCGTAATAATGGACTATTTGGGAATCAAAAGAGATCGGTGTAGGAGCTTGTCGACTTTATTCGGAATGCTATCCTTCAAAGGGTGGCTTGGAGGAATACGTCCAAAAACTCTATGATGCTCAATGGTGATTCTTAATCGGTTGGTTCTTGCCATGTTTTGGTGGTGCTGCTTTTGGAGCTGGTCCTTGACCATCTTCTTTAGCTCCTGGTTTATTTATGTTAGTCTTTGTTTTTTTCTGGTTACTAGTGGCTTGGTATGTTGCTTCCAAGTTCTTTTGTTTTGTTGATTGGACTTCGTAGTTTTTGAACTTTTCGTTGTTTAATATGTTGCCTGGAGTTTTTTCCCTCAAAAAAAATTATCAACAACCTTGCGGCAAAGTGGTGTATATCCGGAGACCTCAATGTGGTTAGAAACTCCTCGAAAAGAAAGAACAGTTTTTTAAAGCAAAGGCAGCAAGCCTTTTAGGGGGTGTATGGGATTGGTTATTTAAAGTGCTTGTTGACTTATCCCGATGTGATATCGGTGATAAGCAATTTTTAGTGTTTGGATGGAAAGAAAAAGAAAATTGCTTATACAGATGTCAGACCGGTAATAAGGAATTTTTGATAAGTTAGAATATTCTAACTTATCAGATTCAACTTATTAGCTTTGGATACCAATTTACCTTTTCAACCCTAAACCTAAATTACGCATCAGATTGAGCGACTGTAACAACCCTCATATTCCAAATACATATAATTCACATCATCATTCTTATAATACTAAAAATAGTATTATTACAAAACATGAACTATCAAAATGTATCTTTAATACATATGCATAACAATCTAATATCAGCTATTAGACTTTTCCCTTGCCTTTATCTTTCAGAGTACGCTGTCTTGCAAAATAGGTTAATCCAACATCTGAGCGTTAGACCAAAAAGGTCTAGTGAGTGTATAATCTCATACAACAATATATATTCCAAACATTCAGTTTAGAATCAAACCTGTTCATAAACATATTTATGTTTCTCGCGAATTACACCGCCATCTCATTCTCTTATCTCATTCTCACTCGCTGTTACACCGCCTATTATACCATTCTCGCGGTTACACCGCCCATCATACTCTCGCGGTTACAC